TGTATTATGAGGATGCCTTATCATTTTTTTTGAATTCTTTCTTTGTTAATGAAAACTGTTCCCTATATGAGAGGCAGACATGAGAGTGAAATGGCAGTTGTAACTAACTAGAAAAACAGGAGACTATATACATAAAGAGTAGGAATCTGAGTTCAGGAAAGATCTAAGTTAGGTTAGGAGCTTCACTGTAAAGAGTCCAGGCTCTTGTAGCCCTGGGAATTTTCTTTGATCTTATTTCAGATTGCAAGTAGCACTTTGGAATTGTTTAATTGAATTGAAAATTATTAGACACCATATGTCATAATTCACAATCTCATTACTTTCTAATGCTAGTGCAGGTATTACTAGAATTCATTCGACGACTAAATGATGATGATGGGTAACTTCTTTCTGTACTGTCCTTTAAGTTTATCTAGTTTTAATTTCAATTATTACAAATAATTAATATAAGCAGTTCCATCCATGCCTCTTCAATTGAGTGGTTGAACCATTTGATTTATAATTTTAGAATAATGTCCGAAAATTAATAGGCCAATGGAAGAACAACGACAGCGCTATGGACCACCTTTGTATAACCTTACAACAATGGTCCTCCTTATTCGACTCTGTATTTCATTATCATGGAGACGTTTTGATGCTAGGAAACTGTAAGAAATCTTTATGATTTTTATGTTACAGTTGTTTATTATTGAATTATAGCGTTTATAATGGGTAATTATTGTATCTTTTCCCTGTTGAGGGAATGGATGTTCTACTGTTTTTGCCCTTGTGGTTTCTACTGGTTGCAATTATATTGAGCAGAAGCGAGCATCTAGCCATTTTGGAGCAAGCTGTTGATGTGTACACCTCTGAGCTTGAGAGGTTCCTCGGGTTCATTCGGTAGTATTCCTGCCTCTAGCATAATTAGCTTCCTTAATATGTTTAGTTCTTCACTGATAATTTTCCATCTATTGGCCATTTTGAATTGTACATGGAACTCCATCATGCACTTTAAAAGTTAGTCTCTACGAAAGGAGGAGCATGCTGCACGTATGTAGTTGATATTACTTTTGGGCGGGGGGGTTGGGTTTAGAGTGATATGTCTTGGTTGTTGACATCTTAAAGGTTAATTCTTTAACCAGTTGATAACCAGGGACGTATTGTGCACAACATATGGTGATATAATATTGTACTGAAATTCAAGTAAACTAACATTTGAAGGCAAAGCTTTAGATTGATTCGATAGATGTTATTTTGCAAAGAATCATGCCTCCTTGTAGTCTTCTCTTTCAAGTATTATTTTTCTAAATACTCTTTCAATGTAATTAGATTTAGTTGGGAGGCTTTTTGTGATGTTGTCGGTTTTATCGTTGTTTTGTGTTTTTTGGCAGTCTCGTTCAAGGTTGTAGTAGCTATTTGGGTCTCTCTATCTTTTTCTTTTTTCTTCTTCTTTTTCCCTCATGAAGAGAGAATTGTAACCATGTAACTTGATTAATGTTTCATCTTTTCCTTTCTCATTTTGTAGTAGCCTAGCAATCGTCATGATATTTTGTGGTTCTGGTTGTCCGGTATCTGCATTTTATTGATTATTTTCCCCATATTTATCAGGGAGGTCTTCAACAATTCTCCATTCTTTATTTCAGCAGATGTGGCTGGTGCAGCAGATGTGAGGTATACATTGACATTGTTGTGTATATATATCATCTGGGATAAAAAGCATTGCTTTCATTAAGATAATAAAAAGGCATAACAGGTAAAACCCCAACGAATAAACAAGGGACAAAGAACACCAATAAGCAGGAAAACAAACAAAAGACTAAAGGCAGAGAGGGGATGTAATCAAGAACAAGAAGGATTTAAAGTGTGCAGAATTTCAATCCAACTCTTAACTAGAGACCCTTTCTTGAAAGATCCTTTCCAGGCGAAATGAACCAAACCATAGCCAAAAGGCCACTCCTACCACGGATAAAGCTATCCTGAGCTCAACAAGAGCATCCCTAGTATCCTAACTAGGGGTGAAACTAACGTCGAGAGCCTTCCAGAAAGCTCCCCACATAAAAGTCAAGAACGTACAGACTAATAGTAAATGATTCATATCCTTTGACAAATTCCTGAAAAGGATGCACCAGTTTGGACTCAACTCTAGAGTGGATAACTTACAAATCACATCAATGATGTTAACATAAAAAAGCATAGCTACAAGACTAGTCATCTTATTCTTGTCTCGAAGCAGACTCAAAGATCAACAGTATTTTGTTTTCACTATTGTTTGTACATCTAACACAACCCAATGGATTGAGAAAAAAATGAGCGGATGCTTAGGATCCTGCACATAGACGGGCAAGAGAATAATTAAACTTTTTCAGAAAGACGAACTTTCAGAGATCAAACAAAAAAGGTGACTGAGAAACCATAGAACTAGAGGAGAAAATTCCAGAAGAATCAAAAGTAGGACAATGATCTTCATCTTTGGATGAGGAACAAACAGGAAAACAGTATTCAACAAGGGGGCTACCTCACAGGAGTCCTTATCATGAAGAGCTCAATGAAAACCAAAGTCCATGTTACTGAACAAGGGAAGAGCAAAGCTGCAATAAGGGATTATTGCCAATGCAATGATCATCCTCCCAGATTCGAGGGCCAAGTCATCCATCCCCAAGGAATAAAGAAAATACTTGCCTAAAGTCTAAACTAAGGGAGTCCATCTTAAGATACTTTTCTATGGGTTGCTATAAGGACCACAATAAACCACCTTGGAGTCCCCTAACCACAAGCCTGCAACCCATATTTACTCACCTTATGGCACATAGACTCAGCTCTAGGGGGAAACATCAAAGCCATTTAGACAAGAAACTAGACTTCTTACTAACTAGGTTCCTAACAGTAAGATTGCCCTAGTTCATGCAATCATGCCTTTTGACGCTTCACCACAATTGTGATTGGACCCACCTTCCTTATAGCCCTCCTACATTCAGTATTTCTTCAACTTCTCGATCTCTCTAGTTGCCAACATATGGATCTTAAAAATAGACATGGGAAGAAAAAATAAAAAGGAAAATAAAATCCCACACAACAATTGTTGGATGAGGGTTAGCCTTCCTCCCTTGGAAGAAAGGCTTTCTTCTAGGAAAAAGGTGCTTTTGAATCTTTTCCTTCAGTCCCAGAAGGTAAGGCTTCTCAGGTTATGGCCGAGAGTGCCCACATAATTCATTGGAGGCTGAGCAACTGCTCCACCCACCTCTGTAGCCGTCTCAACCTTACCAGAAACAATGTTAACACTGATAATGGAACATTTGGATCTAGTAACACTAAGACCGGAGGCCTTACCAAACACGTTAAGGACTTCAATAAAGGCACATGAAGGACAAAATGTTCTTGGACAAAAGAAAATTGTATCATCAAGAAACTGCAATTAAGTTAGATACATCCAACTTTACCTGGAAAGCCTTTCAACCAATCTCTCCCCTCTTCCTTAGAAAGCGCATTCTAGCATCCATGAACGAGATTAAATGAGATGGGAAGAGGGGCATCGAACTGAAACGAAATAAGATTGTTGCATAATATCAGTCAAATGGAATAAAGTTTTCATACTTTACTTTCTAGCAACTTTTCTTTTCCTCTCCCTTTCCTTTTACCCGTCTATCTATATCTACCTATCAATCTCTCCAGGAATAATGAGAGCTACAAAGAGATTAGTGTTCTAGCTGGGAAGACCTATGAGGTATATTTTTCTTATTTTCTTTTTATTCTCACATTTTTGCTTATTTACTGATTCCTTGGCTTCAGATTCTGTTCTTTGAGAAAAATAGATAACTGTATATTATTAGTCATTAAAAGCATTTCAAAAGTTCTGGGGTTGAAGAATCTGTTTTAAATTTATAAATTGTGTTCATTTCCTTCAAATACATCACTTTTCTTAGATTTAACTCTTCTCTGTTTGGTATATAGCATATACCAGATATTCTGTTCTATCCAGGTGCTAAGGCAGCAGAAGATTGATTCAGTTCATTTTGGACAATAGCAAGTTTTTAATGATATAATATAATATTTTTATAAAGATGTGTAGAGAAACCAAGTGTTTAAAAGCCTGATATGGAATGCACAGAAATTGATGCTTGTTAATTTAGTTAACATAGAACTTTTATTTGACTTGATTTTATTTTTATTATTATTTTTTTTCATAAAATGATCTATAGGTTGTTGAGAAAAGAATGCCAAATGATTAGTGCATAGGTTCATTACACAATTTACTCAGCACCAAGTAATTTGTAAAAATATAATATTAAATTCTACTTGGATGCTGCATCAATTAAAGCCTTTGAATTCTACCAGCGAAACATTTTTGTTTCTTAGCATTAAAAAAATTACTTTGATGGTATTTTTAATTCAGGGTACAAATATATATTTATTAAACATTTACACTTAACTTTGAGTATATTAATTAATGATGTTTTGTGCAATAAAGCTCTATTTAGATCTTGTCATTTATAAACTTTTTCAGTGGATGGCTTATATCTTGAACAATCATATTATTGGTTTAATCTACATAAAGAGTTTTATTCTGGTATCTCATTACATGTGACATTTTGTTATGGATTACTTTTCTAGGTTTCATTAAGTGTGGAGTCAATCAATTCATATATTGCCTGGGATTTCTCACTGGTTCAAGGCAAGATGAATATGGTACAGCTACCAAATCCCAAACCATCTTCGAATCTCTTGCATATCTTCTTTGTCACATAATTAATACTCTCTAGATGTCACCTTTTATCTCGAGGATATATTTGTAGAGCTCAGCTTATGTAAGTTGCAGAGTTCTTTTTGTTTCCAACTCTAGTTTCTAAAATGTCAAAATTGTGTTCTCCTCATAGAATCATTATAGGGTTTATCAAGTTATTATATTCTGGATAAGGTTCTCATTGCCAATGAAGCTATTGAGTATTACAAAGTGCTTGAATTGAATGGGGTTATTTTTAAGATTGATTTTTGAAAGGCTTAGTATCATGTGGATCGGGGTCTTCTGGATAAGGTTGTTTGAAAGAAAAGCTCTGATTATAAGTAGAGAATTCAGGCGAGGAATTTAACTTCTGTCAAGGAAAAAGTCTCTATTTTGGATAATGGGGAGGTGTAGGGGAAACTATTTTGCTTCTAAGGTATCACGATTCCTTAACAAGCTGGAAGACGTTTTTGTAATCCAGTTTTCTGGGATTCTTTTGAGTTTTGTACATTCATATCATCACTGAAATATTTGTTTCTTACAAAAAAGGATAAAAAGGTATTTGGTGAGGTGATCCTCCGTCTCCTTTTCTTTTCGTCATGAGACTGTCTATTGAAAAATAACCAAATCAAGGTCCTAACCAATAATTCATTCATCAGATGTAAAATTCTGTAAATTACAAACGCTATTGGATTTCATTTTGAACTTAGTAAACTAATTCCCTGAGATCTATGGTTATTCATCTTTCCTGCTTATTTTATGCCCAAACATAAAGAAGATAAGAAAACTACAATTAGATTTGATACTAAAAAGTTATACCTGGTATAAATGTATGCATTTTTGTTTGATGCCATTTCGTTTATGGCTGTTTCTATCCATCATGGCCATTTTGGTCGAATACTAAAATAGAGTTGATCTTTATGCTTTCTCAGGATATTGGATTCAGTGTGGAGTATGAAAGTCCTGGAGGGGAAAAGACTGTAAGTTGTGGATTATGGTGACCTTGTAACCAACTGCTCCCAAGCTTACTATTAATTTCTGTGTTTCATTTTCTGGATTATTGAAATTCTATTTCCATAATCATCTTGGAGAGTCTCCCTCTCTTTAACACACATTTAATTCAGTTTGTTATGAGTTTAACTGTTTTCTTGCAGTTGATATTGCCTCACAAACGGTACGAGTCCGATCAAGTGAGTTTATGTTAACATGTGTTTCTTTTATTGAAGTGTTGAAACCACAATCATAAAATTGACGGGATTTTCATCAGGGAAACTTCTGCACTTGCATGGCTGGAGACTACAAGCTGATTTGGGACAATACATATTCAACTTTTTTTAAGAAGGTAGTGAACAAGATAACCATCATCTTTTCTCAAGTTGTGCATAGTAGGCTCCTTTCTTTGGTTTTTCCCATTTCTTTTTTACTTGTGAGTATTTGGGTCAATTTACGTGCACCTCGACAAACAGCTACCTGACCTTACTACATTTGGTTGCTAAGGAAACTCATAGTTTCCTCTCAGGTAGGTGGCCACCATGGTTTGAACCTATTTCACTCATAATTATTAAGAATCCATCTCTCCTCCTTTAGATCAATGGATCAACCCATGATGGGTCTTTGGTTTTTCTACTTCGGGTGACAGATATATGCTGATGTCCATACGAATGACCTTGAATGGACCTTCCAGATGTAAGGTCGACATGATTTCCAAACAAGAATGTTATCGAACGGCCCTTTGGCATAAATGATATTTCATGCATGCTTGTAGTGCATTTGATTTTGGTGCAAAATAGATTACTTGTTTGCACATTTCTATTCTCATAACCATCTAGTTTAGAATGATTTGAGTGTTGATGATAAGCTTGATGTGTGCATTTCCCTCCGTGCCATAGGTTTTGCGCTACAAGGTCGACTGCATACCTCCGGTCGCAGAGCCGGTGCAACCCACCACCGAAGGTTGAGTGTGCCTCCACAGCAGCCTCAACAAATTGTAGACGATTTTTTAGGTTGTAACATACATTCATATCGAAGTTTGTTATTGCATTGAGGTCATATTAGAATTTGCTGCTAGAGAAATCCTGTAAACAATGCAATTAACCGAAAAAAGCATTCACTGTAATTATGGAAATATGTTATTTTCTTAATCGACCTCAGCTTGTGTAATACCTTCTGTTCTCTCATAAATGTCACAGAAAATTGAACAAATAGAAAAGATTGCAATCTTTCAAACGACAATAAGCTTATAATCTTCTTCCACGACTTAAAGCGGTCGGTCCAGTTGTACAAGGTCCTATTGTCTTCTTTGTTTGACAATATGTTCGGAGTGTATCGTCTTCGTGAACAGATGAATGTGTCAAGGAAACCAAAACTTCAGAAGAGTGCGTTATGCTGGAATAATGTTGGGGTTTGCATGTAGTTATACACTCGCTTGGCAGATTCTAGTGTGTTGTGCAAGAGCATAGCAACCGTCATCGGTCCAACTCCGCCAGGAACTGGTGTAATGGCAGATGCCACTCTTGATGCCTCGTTGTAGCAAACATCTCCGATTAGTCGATAGCCATGCTCGCAGCTAGGATCCTGGCAATTCATGGCAATGTATGTGTTATAAAACTTGCAAACTGGTCTAAATCAGGCATCTCGAGTTTGGTTATATGCATAAACTGAGAAAGAAAATTGCCACTTCAAAAATTAATTGAAGTTTGAATAATTTACCAATTGACACATACATCGTATCCTTACAAATATAACATGCATTTATGGTAAGTTTGGGATGCCTTTTAAAAAAGGTATTTTAGGTGAGACATTTTTTATACAAACAGTAGGAAAGAAAACCACTTAAATGCTTCCTCTAAAGGCATTTTAAGTGCTTTTCAACTCTTTTTAACTAGTTAAAAGTACCTTTTACCCCTCTTTACAATTTTAACCAAACTCGATCGATTTTTGCAAAAACACTTCTAGTCTATCCATTAGGGGTGTTCACGGGTTGGGTTGGGTTAGAGGAGTTTTTTGGACCAACCCGAATTTTTGGGTTGGGCAGGAAAAAGAACCGATGGAACCGAACAAGAAGGTCAACCCAACCCTTATATTTTCAGGTTGGGTCGTCGGGTTGAGACGAGAGAAGGAAGGGAGTCAAACGAAATAAGACTCAGTCGAAATCCTAAACATTTTCAGTATCAGAAATCGATTGTTCATCGTATTTGTCGTCATGTAA